GAATGTTCTAGAGAAGTGCCACCACCATTCGGCTTTTATGTATAAGGGAGATAAGGATTGTGTTAGGGGGGAGTCCATTAAACAGGAAATTCCTTAAATCCCTGGGAGGCAATTTGCACCCTGAAACTTGTAATTGTAGATCTCCCAAAATAGCAGAAAATGTTAATGTGTTGTTTGTCGAAAGGTTCTATGTCTTCAGTGTTGTATTGTTAATTTACAGATGCTTTTTAGAGGGTTGAATATATCATAAATATCATTCGCATTTCACTAGCAAGTAGATTTGAGTGCTTTGCATTTAAACATATGTTCTGCTCTCTGCCTTGCTTTCCACTTACTCTGTGTCTGTGAAAAGAATGGTACAGAATTTAGATCTATTATGTGTGCATTAAAATAGTGTCTTGTTGAATGGTATACCATGCTGTACATTTCAGACTGTTGTAACTCAAAACAGATGTATTAGTATACTCTTATAGTGACACATGTAAGCACAAAAACATTTTAAACCTCATTAATTAGTTTCAGCTGAACAATATCAACACAATTGTAAATGTCATCTATTCCAAGTATTAATAAAGCCTTGGGACTCAATTATTCAAATATGAAACATTTTTAAAAATTCTTAATGTATCATTCATACTTTTTCTCCAGAAAAAGTGATTATTAAAGAATTCATTGCAGGGAAATGACCTTAATTCAAAGTCTATTGACATCTGCAGAAACCCCCTTTGATACCAGGGGCTTTGGGTACAATGTCTGAAAATAATCGAATTCATAGAAATGTCATTTCCAGAACATATATCTCTTACTGACATAAATGTTCATAGTTAATTATGAATATTATAACCAATTCTGAAGTTCCCGAAAACTTATACGTTTGACTTATATGAACCTAACATATTTTCTAGCATAGGATTTAGGTTGTCTTGTTAATGACACTTTCACAAATGAAAATAGGACTGTGCCTCTAACACCTCTATTAAAAAACACTGTGCAAGCACCACCCACTTAAAAAAAATCACTTTTGCCTACTATGGTTGTCAGCCTCCAGGTGGTGGCTGGAGACCTACTATTACAACTGATCTCCAGACGATGGTCATCCGGATAAAATGGCCGCTTTAGAGTGCGGATTCTATGACATTGAAGTCCCTCCCCTCCCCACCCCAAACCCCACCCTCCTCAAGCTCCACCTCCCAAATTTATACATATTTCCCAACCTGGATCTGGGATTCCTAGTGCCTGCCCCACCCTCTATACTGCAACACATTGTTAAAGCCCCTCCACAACTGCCTGTGATATGCTGTACATTTACTCAACAATGGCTTGGCCCACACCAGTTTAAATGCATGGTATTTGGTATTTTGGTTAAAAATATGTATTGCTGTTGTTGTTCAGTCGCACAGTTGAGTCCGACTCTTCGCGACCCCATGGACCACATCACGCCATCCTCCAGAGTATGCTTAAGTTCATGTTTGTTGCATCAATAACACTGTCTAACCATCTCATCCTTTGTTGTCCCCTTCTTTTTTGACCTTCAATCTTTCCCAGCATCAGGGTCTTCTCCAGTGAGTGTGCCCTTCTCATTTGGTGGCAAAAGTATTTGAGCTTCAGCTTCAGTATCTGGCCTTCCAGGGAACAGTTAGGGTTGATTTCTTTTAGGACTAACTGATTTGATCTCCTTGTAGTCCAAGGGACTCTCAAGAGTCTTCTCCAGCACCATAGTTCAAAAGAATCTATTCTTCGGCACTCGGCCTTTCTTATAGTCCAACTCTCGCAGCCATACATTACTAATACCATTGCTTTTACCATACAGACTTTTTTTGTTAGGAAAACATAATTATCCTATAATCTGTTGGGATTGATCTGCCATTTTTACCTTTCTTGTGCAGTCATTAAAAAGCACTGGTGAGGTTTTGTGTGAAATTTGGTGTGAGGTAGCAGCAGGAAGGGGGGATTTGGCAGAAATTTCCCTCCCATGCTCCTGTATGTGTAATATATGCTAATTGCCATCTAGTGGCTGAGTGGAGTTGCAAATACTTTGCGCTGAGCAGTCAGATTTGGCATGCTTCTGAGAAAGGTAAGTTTAGTTGAGGCCTGATTTCAAGACAGATGCCTGGCTAAGGCTTTGTGTGCTGCATAAAGCGTGTTTATATCTTTGACCTGCTGGTGCAAACTCCAAACTTTACAGGATGAACACAGTAATGTCTCCAAATGAAGCAAAAATCCACACAAGTCTGCTTATCTCTTGGAAAGCTTATTACCCTCCCCCAGTCTTGCTGGTCTCTGAGGTGCTATTAGACTCAAGTCTAGCTATTAATAAGGGAGTGTCCATAGTAACATTTGGGAACCACTGGAGCAAAAGGCTAAAGTGGATTCAATGTATGCTTGAATTTAATGTCTGCACTAACATCTGGGCATTCATGTATGGTTCATATTGGGCTGCTTTGAAAAGTAGCTGGCTTCCCTTATACTGCTTTAAAAACTTGTGTGCATCACAAGAATCTGAAGCTAGTAGTTGTTGGGTCCTTTAATCACTTGTTTCTCTTATTGGCCTCATTCCCTGTCGCTCATGGCCGTTTTGGTTTGCAGAAAGTGATGCACATTATTATATGTGCCTGTTATCACCTGATTTATGCTGCAGCTTGAGGGGACTGTTCAAGCATCACCAGGAACTTTTCAGCAAACTCAACAATCCAAAATGTATGCGAGTGGAGGATCAAGAAAATGCATACCACATTTTGGAACATGGAAAGAAGCAGATAACAATAGGCAGAAGCAAGCCAAAACAAACTGAAATTACCCACAGTGCCAATGTGTTCCTAATTCTGAGCCTTTTTGGCCTGGAGATGGGAGAGCGAGCTCTTCGGTCTGGGATCAGGCTTTGCCCTTATTGGAAGCGGAGGAGCTCACTGCTGCTACAACGTTTAAAATATTAATGCTAAAACCATTGTTTGCACTTTCTAGAATTCTATTAAGCTTTCCAACAGAAGTATCTATGGCAGCAAAAAAAGAAAAACCATTGCAAATTAATTCCAGCTGGGGATATCTTAGGAAAATGTTTTTAGTTGATATCTTTGCTATCCACATCTGTAAACGCCATAAATAGTGTCAGAGCATTTAGTTATACTGTCTCTGATGATGCTTATGACAGTTTTTCATTTCAGTTTGAACACATATGGTGTGACGTCACTCTTTAGCTTGACTAAGAGCTGAAACTGAACAAGCCCCTCCCATGGCTGCCTGTGTTATAGTGCTTTGACTTCTTGGCCTAATGGATTACAGAAATCAGGATCCCTTTGTGGATATAAAAAACAAATGAATTTACCAAATGGAATAAAAAATATTACCATTATGGACACGGCATGTTACAACCAGAACTTTAGTGCAGTACAAGAACTAAAGTTCTGGTTGTAACATGATTGTGTTAAGTACTCTGTTCTGTACTTCGGACAATCCATTGGGAACAGAGCCAGCAACAAAGCAATCTTTTTTATAACACCACATTCTGTATTTTAGTTAATTGTGTGGGCTAATCTCTTAGGATTGATTTGGGATTGGATCCAGACTAGATTTGCAATGTTCACTGATTCCTCCTTCCTTCTGAATCCCACCCACCCCCCATTGTTCTTCAGGGTCCCCTGTCCCCTGAGAGCAACATTTCATGGAGATCGGTGCAGGGGAGAAGTATGAACATGACACTTTTAAATTTGTAGTTCTTTAATTCTCTCAGTATTGCTTGTTTTTCTTTGGCAAACTTAATGATGCCTTAACAAATAAGAGGTAGAGAAGGTAAACCAGAACTTTCCCTTAAGAACATATTTTGAGCAAAAGGACCTGAATCAAAATTACTCACAATTCCTGTCACTGAAATTGTCAAACCTTGCTATGCTATGCTTGCTTCGGTGACCATAATGGCTGGGGGGAGGGTATTCCTGAGGGTGGGGGTGAGTGTGTGCAGGTGTGAATGTGACCTTTGCTTTTAGACCATGTAACTTTTCCACAAGACAGTCCCTTCTCCTCCCCTCTTGCTTTCCCAGGAGAATTGGCCTTGAAAACATTCCTATACCAGCTTGGACTCTAGATTACTGGGACATATATCTTCCCTGGTTGGTATGGCAACTAGGCGATGAGTGGATGTGACGTATGCTTGTGGGCTGGATGAGACCTGTTTGATTTTCTATAATATGATTGTAGCTGCCAAAAGACTTCAGTTCTAACATGGTGACTTTTGGATCTTGCATATGCTCTAATAAACTAATCACTGCCAAAACAAGAGTTATTGAGCAGGGCTATTTTTGGGCAGGAGCGCAGAGGAATGGAGTTCCAGCTGGCTTCAGAGTTGGTCACGCCCACTACTGCCAAAAGCTCTGCGTGCCTGGCTACAGAGGGAAGGCCTGGAGAGCAACACCCCCCTGGCGACTCCGAGGCAGGCGGGCCAGGGAGGGCCCTGGAAGGATCAGGGAGGCATTTAAATGCCTCCCCTTGCCTTTCCCGGCCTGTCCAAGGGCCGGCTTGTCCCGGGATGCCTCCCCTTGCCTTTCCCGGCCTGTCCAAGGGCCGGCTTGCCCAGGCACCCCGCAGCCACGGGGCACCTGGGCATGCGGATGTGGCCTAATATGCTAATGAGCTGCACTGTCATTGGTGTGGCCTAATGTGCTAATGAGTTTCTGGTGTTGGGTGTGGCCTATTATGCCAATGAGTTCCTGCTGGGCTTTTTCTACAAACTGGACCGGGGTCTGACAGAAACATTGTCACAGTCCAATAAAAATACACTTTCGTTGTGAGGAATTCTTATCAAATGACATCAAATAAAAATACAGCTCAAGAGTACAGAATTACTCAAGAGTACAGGACTACTGTTGATACTAACCTGGCACCTGAAGAACTGTGTACATGCACAGAGTAGTCTAACTAAAAAACTGAAGCGGCTCATAAATAAGTATACATAGGCAGTTAAGTATTCTAGCTCACCTTTGATCTTTTCTGACCCTTTACCTTTTTAGGTTACTTTTTGACCTTTTTGGAACCAGTAAACAATATCACCATAGTCCAGGGCCAGACAGCGATCCTTCACTGTAAAGTAGCAGGACATCCATCGCCCAATGTCAGATGGTTGAAAAACGATGCACCAGTGGTTCAAGAACCAAGAAGGATCATCATAAGGAAAACAGAGTATGGCTCCCGATTAAGAATCCAAGATCTTGACACAACTGACACTGGCTACTATCAATGTGTGGCCACTAATGGGATGAAGACAATAACTGCAACAGGAGTTCTCTTTGTAAGGCTGGGTGAGTCCCTTTGTTTTAAAACATGGCTTTTATAAGTAGCTTTGCTGCTTTATAGACTCACAGCTAGTTTTCACAATAGCAAAATGAGAAATTAATTCACTGGGTTTTTTCTTTTAGAAAATAAATTGCAGCATGAAAGAAAATCAGTCAAGTCATTGCCTAAGGCCTCCTCCTCAGCACAAAATGTCTGGGTTGAACCTGATACCATTTACTAGTAATAAAAGAAAGTAGATACAGATGGAATGGTCTGTAAATATGGAGTTCAGAGAACAGAATAAATGTGAAATAAGCCATAGCTGAAAGTACAGAAAGGCAAACTTTCATTACTTCACATTTCACAGTACCACTCATTCTGGTCTTGCTGCACAGGGAATAAGCAGCAACTTTCCATATGGTATTTATAGCTTGAGTCCCTATCTTTGTAAGGTTACACATGGTATCTGCAGTTGCAGGAACCTGATATCTGCCCAAAATCAAGACACAACTATTCTGATGTTGTAAGCCTTTTTGAGCTCCTAATGGGGGGAAAAGTGGAGTACAAATATCCAGACAAAATAGAGGTATTCTCTATAGGAAGCATTTGTTGCTTTATTCCAGAAGATTAGATGCTTGTACTTTAAAATTTAATGTAAGGAAGATGAAGCAATGGGAAGAAGAGATAATGTAGTAAAGTCCAGGTGCACATACTTCTGCCTAGATTCAGTAAGAGTAGGGGACTAAGAGGTAGTATTATGAGAACAGTGGAGAACATTGGTATGTTTGAGTACATTGGGGAAGGAGCCACAGAAATGGCACAAGTTGATTACATGGTGGCAGGGAGATTGCCATCTGAATGCAGGAGGTTATATGGGCAAGGAGAGGTCGGCTACAACAATATTAAATACATATTGGGCCCCTCCATTGAAATGGGCAGAGAATCATTTGCATACATTGGTACACTGGAACTGTAAGTGGTATCTGGTTCAAAATATTAAACGACACAGTCAATCTTATACTTTGTAATTGATCAACTTTTGAATTCCTGAGTTGTCACTTAACCCCAAATGGTATTAAACTTTATGCTGCCCATTCTATACATATCTGATTTTATTATAATTAATATTGCCACTGTGTGTAAAATATTCAGTACATCACAGGACATTTGTTTGTAACAAAAGGCCACACAACAGTGAACATTACTAAAAATTTTGATGTGTCTATTTTTATATGGTTCCGAAAGAGGTTGGTTATGAAGTTAAAGTAGCACTATCAGTTGAAGAGCTAGGTCTGAGTCATATCTGACAAAGGAGGCTTAACTCTTGACAGCTTACACTTACCTCACATGGTGTCTGGTGTGGGGAGAGGGAGGGAGGAGATTGTAAGCCTCTCCAAGTGAAGGACGAGGCATAAATCCAATCTCCTCCTCCTCCTCCTCTTCCTCTTCTTCTTCTTTTCTTCTTGTCCTACTTGATTGTAAGGTGCTGGACTCAAATCTTGCTCTTCCGCTGCAGACCAACACAGCTACCACCTGAAACTATGAATTGAAATATGAGTTGCATTTGTTTTAGCAGACAAAGTATTGATTTATGTTTTTGAAAATAACGTGATGTAGTGCAGGAAAAACAAAGTATTTGTTTGACATAGCACAAGTGTACTTCTAAAATATTTTAATATATTTTATTCAAGAGGCAAAAGTGTTAATTTATTGTTTTTATGTTTGTAGGTCCAACACACAGCCCAAATCACAATTTTCAGTAAGTACTAGTTAACAGTCATTTCTTGAATGTCTAAGGGTTTGTGGATTTTTGGAGGGTTTTCCCCCCCTGCAAAATATTGGGTAATAGAATAATTAAAATATGCCTGAAATAACTTCATGTCTTTGCCAACCATTTAGTTTTACTGAAAACATTCACTTTCAGGATGATTGCAGGTCTTGTTTTGTGTGGTGCTTGTATTGTGTGTGTTTGACAAAATGTTTGTGCAGTTTTTCCTCTTGTATGCTTTATGTTTTAGAAAGACAATACAGCTTCACATTATGATGGTTATGCTTGTGTTCATTGTCAGATTGTGTGTGTTCTCAGTATATTTCTGAGCAACAGCAGTTATAAGCAGATCTTCAACTTTATTTCTGTACAGAAGCCCTTACATAATTTGTATAGAAGTCTTAGAAGTGACATCTGTAGCATGGATCATATGATAAACTGAGCACTTTTAGAAGCAAAAAGATTGTTTGATGTGAGCATAATTTCATTTATTGAAATGGCTTGAAGCACAGCTAGAACAGTGTTTTAGATATAACTTCTTTTTCTCAAATTTCACTGAGGCTCTGCGAAAGCACATATTGAGAAGAATTATTGTGAATGTTGAAAGAGAATATATTGTACAAAATCTGTGAATATAAATAAATATCTGGATTGTCTACTGTTCAGTTTTTGTCTAAAGGTTGACTCTTGTGAGTTCCTGAATATAATGTAGTATATGAATAGATGTATGCAGAGCTTTGAGAATATAGGCTGTTGGGTGGACCCAGAGGTCATTTCGGGGGGGAACACAGTTCCCCCGGATGAGGTGCAGGGGGGCGGGACACATGACGAAGCCCCGCCCCCTGCTTCCGGCCGCCCCGCTTCCAGCCCTCATTCAGCCAGGAGGAGGCAGGAGAAGAGGGAGGGTAAGTTGCTTCCCCCCCGCCTCTCCCCACCCCTGCCTGCCTGGGGCCAGGGAGGGCCTTGGCGGGGCTTCCTCGCACTCCTGCTGGCCTTGCAGGTCCACCGCCGGGCCCCTGATGTCAGGGGGTGTGGCATATGCTAATGAGTTATGCTAATGAGTTCCCCTAGCTCTTTTTCTACGAAATGACCCCTGGGTGGACCAATGAAACTACTCAATTTGCATATTGGGAGGAATGTGTGTAGCTAGTGACTGAAGGAAAAAAACATCTGAGTACAGTGTGGAACATGAGGCCTAGTCATTTTTCTCTCCAAGGACTG